TCTTCTTCTTCTTGATTTTTATTGGCGGTTGGCAAGAAACGTGAAATAGAATTACCGCCACCGCCACCTACTGGTATGGAATGCGATTCATGACGGTCTAATAGTTATTGAAGAAGAACTTGGGTAGTAAATAAAAACAAATTATTCGATTTCAAAAGAAAACTAAATTACTTAATAGAATATGATAATATGTAGTAGGTATGAGTATGTGTGTGTATGTAGATAGATAGATAGATAGATAGATAGATAGATAGATAGATAGATAGATAGATGTGTGTGTGATGTAAGTAGATATATTTAAGTATATATATAAATAGATGGCATGACTTACTAATCTAACCTTTTCCTTAAAGCTGCAGTAATTACTTTTTTATGTTCATGTTTGTTTAATTGCTTGCAGCTTTAATACATAGATTAAATTATGTTGGACTGTATTTTCTTTTTTCTTTTTTTACTAATTGGTTGATTTGGATTTTATTTAATGGTGTTAGAATAAAGGGACTGGACAGAAATGTATACCTTAGTTTTCCTATTTTTAATTGTAAAAAGAAGTGTAAAAAACATGCATAGTTTACTTTTGCAAGGCACTGCCATAATAAACTTTTCAGAATAACTCCTGAGAACCGGCCCATAGACCTATGGCCATTATTTGGACATTTTGTTGAAACTTATTTTTTGTTCCTACTTTGAGTTACCCTTTGTAGCCCTACAGTACTCTTTAGAGGACATCCTGGGCTTTCCAGGGATGTGTCATGTGATAGGTTTGCATACCGGGAAGTCCGTTTTTTTCCTAAATCAAAATGACCGACCTACCAGAAACCACATTTTATGGAAAGAGGGTAGACAAGTCAAATATTTTTTTCTTTTGTTATTTTTGTCATGATAATTATTTATATTCTTGTTAATTAAATACCAATAATAATATTTTGAGCAGTAAAAACAATTTAATAATTTCTGTTTAGAAATAACAGACCTTTTCTGAATGTCAATTATAATGGACATCAGGACTATGTCAGTGTATTTAAGGACTCCACACTCCACAGAAAGAAGTGAAACATGATTCTCCACAAGATAGTACAGGGAAATTCAGATCAGGAGTTGTCAGATGAAGATGAGGATAATAAATATCAGCCTCTGATAGGGAACTTCATCAAATCCATGGCAATCTGATGATGAGACAGACTCATGGTGCATTCTCACCAAATGTGTTACGCATGTCAAAAATGCATTTGATACATGTGCACTTTTGGTGCATTCCTACCAAAAGCGTTTTGAGCATCAGGTGCGTCTGGTTTACATTCACAGTCTATGTGGAACGTCATAAAAATGGTCCAAACGGCTCAAATCGCACCGCGCTAGAAGCTCGGAACGCTCCTCCATGGCCCTCAACACGCCTCCACATAGACTGGATGTAAACCAGATGGGCCTGACGTTCAAAACACCTTTGGTGTGAATGCACCATTAGAGCCAGAGAGAGAGCAGGAAAGTCGCTATGCTAGGTGGACCAGGATTAATTTGTATGTTTGTCTAGGGCCAGGCATCTGTGATGGGAATGTCCATTTCTTGGTTCTGGTCGACATTTGATGAAAGCTCAACATTTGGTCCTAAAGATCCAAATGTTGGATCTCTATGACCAACATTTGGTCCTAAAGATCATGGACACAAGTTTTTTTTCTTTGTTTGACCATCAACTGCAAATATTGTTTAGATCTTTCCCATAAATGATGGAGGCCATCACCACAGGTTTATCATCAAACCACTTTGTGACAGTCAGCTAAGATGCTCCCTTCTGTTCACAGTTGCCCATCTTCTGGTAATTGGTGTGGCTTTGGTATTCTTTGGTTCATCATAATGGTTCCAGTTGCTGGAAGACCCTTTGAGAAGTTTTCAGAACTTATTCCTCATCATTTTCCTGCTAATAACTGCCATTTGGATTTTTTAGTCCAGAAGATTTTGACTCTGGGAAATCCAAGATAGGCCATATGTGCTGATGTTCTGAAGAAAGTCCTTGTTCATGTGTGTAATTTTATACTTCTATCATGTTCAAAATAAATAAAAATAAACAATTAATCAAGTAAAAATAAATAAAGTCTTCATTTTTTGGGCAATAGTGTTTAGCGACACCCCTGCAGTTTGCAGCCATTTTTGGTTTTTATTTCAAGTAACAAGCAATAGACTGAAACCAGAAATGGATAACTTCTAATTATTAAATGTATTTTTCAAATTTGACCTCTTGTTGGGTTAATGTGATTCATTAAACAATTCTGTACAATTTTCAATTTTTTAAAATTCTGTCATAATTTAGACTGAAATAGTCCTGACGTCCACTACAATGGACATGCTGTAAAATTTTAATTAATAATAATAATAATAAATAAATAAATAAAATGCTAAGGTGTTCATTTTGGCCTAGATAGGTACGAAATCACAAAAAAACAGAAATTGGAAGACACTTTTTTTCTTCGCTTCTCAGGAGGATAAATAACACTGATTCAATGATGTTTTCTGAAAAATGCAAATAGGCTATGAACACTAAGCTGACTTTCTTTATATAATGTAAATTATTCAGGAACAGACAGATGGGAGGGCTTTGCAGACAAATTAAAGTGATATAACAGGGAGGAAACGCCGACAGAAATTCCATCACTGCAGAGAGATCAGTAGATGAGAGGAAGCATTTGGTGATTGACAGGGATTAATGGATTATTAACAAAGCCGTCTGCTGTCAAAGCCTCCATCATCAGCATTGATTTGTGTTTAGTTGTTTTTTATGCTGGTATTTGTACGGGTGCCTTTGTCTCATTGTCACTTAGCTGATGAAGGAACAGAAAAAGTTTGAGATCCAGCAACAGAGTCCTCAGCAACAGAAGAGGTGAGTTGAAAAAATGTCAAGATGAGCTAAAGCTATCATTGGAATGTAATTTGACTAATGTGAAGAGTGAAGATCTTTGTATTCTGGGATTTGTCCCTGCATTGCAAAAAAGTTGCAGTTTAATCTCTTCACAAAGCAGACAAAGGCTTTTGTGCATTGCTTCTTACTTCTTCAAATTCAGACAATTTTCTTAGTATTTGATAGAATTACTCTGTTCAACTTGGGTCCAATGTTTTGGTTATCCTTCCACAACCGTCTCACTGTAATTTGCTGGAATTTTGTTCATTCCTTTTGACAGAAGTGGTGTAGCTGAACTGATTAGGCTTGCAGGTTGTCTGACTAACACACACTTTTGCTGCTCGATCTACAAGTTTCCTGTGGGACTAAGATCAGGTCGTTGTGATGATCACTTCAAAACAAATACTGTTTTGCCTTTAAGATATTTTAATACCTATGATATGATTATGATTAGATCCTATGTGGAAGACCCTCTTGTGCCCAAGCTATATGTTCCGGACTGATGACCACGGATATTGCTTCATTATTTCTGCAATATTCTTTTCCCAATGGTGCCCGCACCCCCACCATGTAAGCTTCCCCACTTCAGGGGTCTCGTGTATAAAGTGTGTGTACGCACAAAAAATGTGTAATGCTCTATTTTACGCACAAGTCGGCATGTATAAAAATAAACATAAATATATGCAAACACTTTACCTACTGTGAAAATGTGCGGCAGCCATGCAAACTTTCTTTGTGGACAATAACAAACTACAAAGTGCCAAAACTCACCTAAAAACACTGAAACCTGAAAACATTCAGTGTTATTTAATCCAAGGAGCATCAAACCAGATGTTTTTTCATAATTTTAATCTTTTATTGTTTAAACGTAAATGATGAAACTGGACCACATTTATCCTCAGACAATAACTTGACACACACACACACACACACACACACACACACACACACACACACACACACACACACACACAAATAAAATAAAAATAAAAGAATGTGAAGACCTCACTTGAATGTAAATAATGAATTTCCTAAGTTTTTGTCTCATAGAGATGTAATGGATTGGTCTTAGTTCCAAAGTGCATTAAATGTTGTCTGTGGGACACTTTAATCTACACTGAAAAGAAAATGGAGCCAGATCAGCAGATTAACTCCAAACAGGTCAGGTTTGATTGTTCTAAAGCAGTGGTGTCCAAAAGTCAGTCCAAGGGCCGGCATCCTCCATGTTTTAGTTCTCTCCCAGGTTTAACGCACCTGGATCAAATGATGGCTGTTAGAAGGCCTAACAGGAACATTGACTTGCTGGAAAGGTTGTTACTACAACCAGGGAGAGAACTAAAACGTGCAGGATGCCGGCCCTCAAGGACCCACTTTGGGCATCTCTGTTTTAAAGGTAGTTGCACAAAGGTGAGCTGCATAATTGTGGAAAACCTTGGAACTGATGGAGAACATCGCCAATTAAAGGATTCAGAGGGAGCTTGTGTTCAGAGACCACATTTATCTGCTGGGAGATGTTGATGATGATTTATTAGCATTTAGATTGCACAGAATGATCATCCTGGAGCTCTGAGCAAAACTTAAAGAAGTAGCCGTGTGCTACTGGTGCCAGATTTACTAATGGAAAATGAATATGACCTGACCATACTGGTTAGAAGCTCTCCAGTGGAAAACAGCTCTAAGGAAATTTCTACAATTATTAGTGGATATGTGAATGTAGACTTGAGCCAGGTTGGGTTTCATTCCCAACACAGAAAGAATTAATTACTGTTGTAATTCCTTGTAATAAATTCCATCAAGTACAATTTTTAAATTGTACTGATGGAATTACTGTTTGCATGGCCATCGTTCAGGGATGTTTCAAAGATCATACTTGTTTGATAACAGATAACATAGTTGTTACAAATGAACAATGTAGACTTCATCTGGAAAGAGGGAAAGTGCAAAATGAACTCAATCTGCCCAGTTTCTGCAGAGCAGGTAGACAAAAACGGCATTTTGTCCAAAAGAATAATTGGAACACTGAAAAGGTTTAAATTTTTTTTACTGGCATGAATATTAACCTTGTTGTAAAAGCTCTTTGTTTTTCTTGTTTGTTTGTTTGTTTGTTTGTTTTCACAGTAGAATCGAGGTGGACCATTGTGATTGGAACAGAAAACAGGAGATGTAAACAACCAGTCTTCATTTAACCTTTCCTCTAACTACGCCTCCTATTATATTTCCTTTTTGCTAGATTTCCCACAAATATGAACATTCCTTTGTCTTCCATGCTCCTCATGATTTTTTCCATTAATTTCTCTGGGTGGCTGCTCCTGCCTGTGGGAAGCTCATATGTGTGCCCACACCAGTGCATTTGCTATGAGCACGCTGACCTGGTGGACTGCTGCAATGGCAAATTTGAACATGTACCCAGGGGCCTCCCTCACGGTACGTGGCTGCTGAAGCTTGGAGGAAACAATCTGAGCATCATAGAAACCCGAACCTTCATTGGACTGTGGTCCCTGAGAGTGCTGGTGCTGACCAACAGTCACATCAAAGAAATACAAGCACAGGTAGGAAGAAATAGATGGAAGAATAAGGGCAAAAACATTAGCTGAGAGTTGACTGAAATACATTTGATTGAAAAGTGGAGATGCTTAAGCTTAGGTTCACATAATTTCCCACAGACAGGATGGGTATGTCATGACCATGCAAGGAAAAGTGTGTTAGATGATGGATGGATGGATAGCATGGGTCTGCTTCAGAAAATGCATGGCATCATGAAGAAGAACATCATATGTAAAGATTTAAACAAAGCAAGTCATGAGCCAGGAAGCTAAAGCTTGGGGACAAACAGGACCTCAAAATTGACAAAGACCCTGAGTATATCATCAAATTATTCAACAAGAGGCATAATTTGTGGGTCAAGCTGCTTCGGTGTGTCTGAGCAAGATGTCCAACAAATATCACTCATTTATACAAGTTCTGCTGGAAGAAATAGGCCAGAATTCAATTGGAAGGACTTAAAAATGTCAAATGTAAAGTAATCACTAAAACAAGCAGTCATTCACAAGAAAGAACAGAAGCAGATCATGACAAGGGTGCAGATAAAATATTGTTTCTAAGAATTAAGAATTGAAAGAAAAGGAAAGTGGAAATTGAATTGAAAAAAAAAAACTACTGTCTTGCTCGACTTAATATTTAGTAGGACAGAGATAACTTAAAAATGATTATTTAAAGAATAAGAAGTTTCTCATCTTTGTATTTGCAGGCTTTTTTTTCTTTATCCTTCCTTGAAAAGTTGGATCTCAGCTGGAATCAGATAACGACTCTCCCTGTGGACTTCTCCTCCAGCTTGTCTGCTCTCAAGGAGCTCCGAATGGAGCACAACAGTTTAAATTATATATCTGGATTCAGGTACCTGTCTGAGTTTTACAAAGACACGGAGTTTTGAGAAAGAACATTTTCAAATCTTAGTATATTATAACAATTTTTTTTTTTTTAGATTTTATGGAATGCAGCAATACAGAGTTGTGAATAACTGTGATGTGGGTAGGGAGTTATACAAGAATATGTTGTTTCAACATACATGTATGCTATTCCTCCTACATGATTTTCAACATTAAAATAAAATGTAATGGAACACCACATTTTTCAGATTTGTGTTCACAGAAAATGCTGAAAACCATGTATCAATTTAATTTCCTTTTAATCCTGCATGTGTTTGTGTTGGTTTATTATTATAGAAAATTCACCCATGACAAAATGTAGATTTTGGGATATGATTTTTTTAGGTACTTTAAAAGCTACCTAAAAGCTGGCTCTTTGCCAGCTTTTAGGTAGCTGGGAGTTTTTCTCCCAGCTTTTAGAATCAAAGTCAATAACAGACCTTGATAAATAATTTCAGCTGAGTGATGTAATAAAGAGGTGATGATGATGTCCTATACCAGGGGTCTGCCACTCCAGTCGTCAAATGCCTCCCTCCTGCTACTGTTGGATTGATTCCTGCTAATACAAACCTGAATCAAATGAATGAGCTATTCATTTTAAACGGGTATGGTTTGTGAACAGGACATGCCAGAAAGGAAATTAAGGTGTGTTGGAGCAGGGATGCATCCAAAAGTTGGCATATGCAGATCCCTATTCTAGACTTTTTCTTCTGTCTTTGAGTTTTAGGACAATCTCACACAATACCTTTTGTTTTCAACCTTCTAGCTTGGAACACTTGGACAACATGGAAAAGTTGGACCTCAGTTATAACCAGCTGGTGTCTGTTGGCCCTGGTGTGTTCAGGGGCCTCTCTAGGCTGAGACAGCTCTTTCTACACAACAACAGACTGACAGTGGTGGAGCAAGGCAGCCTTGATATGCTCCCTGGACTTGAGGTAAATAAAGTCGATATAAACTGTAATTAACTACTGCAGTGATGGGTAACTCCAGTTGTGAAGGGCCAGTGCTCTGCCAGCTTTAGATGTATCCCTGCTCCAACACACCTCAGTCATATAATTAGCAGGACTCTTGAGAATTTGACTGAATACTGGAATTATTCAGCAATTTTATTTAGGACACGTCGAAAAGTCCTAGATCACCAGTGAGCCCATCCAGGAGCGCAACTACATATTATTCAGGAGAATGTGAAAACATATATCGGCGACCCCCCCCCAACCCCCCCCCAAAAAAGGAAGATGTGTAAGGGTGAAGGAGCGTAGCAAACATACAGTCGCTTTATCCATATGAGCAACCGTATGACACTTGGTGAATGACTGGACACCACTGATCTAGGAGTTCTGTTTTAATTTCGAGATCCATTTTTAAAAAACCTGAGACCATTGACAGCTGGTGTTAGGCACAAGCACCCTCAAAATCCCACAATGACAAGCCTGTTATATACAGGTTGGATGGATATAAAAATAATTAGTGCATAGAATCAATCCTTAGTAACTGTCAGAATACATTCTAGGATAAAACAATAGTAGTTCACTCTGTCCTGAGTAAAAAGAATGATGGTAAAAATTAAGAGTGTAAACAGAATGTAAATCAGACAAGTGGACCTCTTTGCTCATGATTTTGAAAATAATTCTCTGTGTAAAAAGTTTTTGCCTGTCTGTCTGTTTAGGTGCTGCAGCTGAGTAACAACAACATCTCCCAGATAGACTCTGAGGCTCTGGCTCCTCTCTATAGTCTGGCAATTCTTAATCTGGAAGGAAACAACTTGCATCACCTGAAGTTTAAGACCTTCATCAGTCTTCATACAACAGCAACACACATTCAGCTTTCAGGTTAACTAAAACTTTTATGAAAGCTCCTTCTCTGGCCATTTTGAACTTTATTGGTAAATTAGTTACTGGTAAGGAGGCAGCAAAAGAATTGACGTAGGCACTTACACTCAGTGATGGCATAGATACTTTGAAAAAGTAACTGGATTATTGATTAAGCCTTAAAAACTTAACTTAGATTACTGATTGCTTGATTTGGAAAGTAACTAAGTTAGATTACAAGTCACTTTATTAGTTACTTTTAGCACCTCCTGACAACAACCCTCCACTACCTCAATATAAAAAATGCATTGAGTTTTGCCAATACTTACTTAATAGTAAGTCATTTCATAATGGTAACATCAACAATGTGTCTGCACTTATAAGATGGAACTGAAGGGGAGATTGTTTAATGGTTACAACAGTCCAAAAAGGATAGGATCCCCCCCGCACAGCCTCCAAGTTCTGTGTTACGGCCCTGTGTTTGCTGTCAGAGTGCAGTGCACAACGCTCCTCCTACGGCTCCACCACTCAGATGGCTGTGACACTTATCTTAATCTTAATGATAATAATGGCATTTAGTTGTGTAACTTTACAGACACGTTCATTCCTGGCTAATTTTATTAAGCTAGGCTGTTAGCAATATGCTAACTTTAGTCACCAACAATAACAGTCCGTGCTTGTCAAAGGCAGGTCTACCACTTTGTTTCAACCTATACTAGAGATGTCACCAAAGTCAGCTAACTAATTTTTTTGGGTGGGTGGGGAGAGAGGGGGAGCATTAATTGCATTTTTTTACTTGCAAAATTGCCAAGCTGGAACCTTTGCACCTGCAAGTGACAGTGATGATCAAGAGGGAGAGTGAATTCATCCTTATTGTATATTTTACCAAACAGAATATTTTTTGTATATAATGGTGTGTGTATTTCAAATATTTGATGCAATCACTAATTCTGTGAAGTGGGAGAAAGAGGTGCTGTGGTGGCACAGGGGTAAAACACAACCCACGTAAGGAGGCCTTTTAGTCCTCGACGCGGCTCTCACAGGTTTGAGTCTCGGCCTGATGATGCTCGCTTGCATGTCTTCCTCCTCTCTCATTACCCACTTTCATGTCTGACCATTCTCAAATAAAGGCCTCTAGAACCAATAAAACTTTAATAAAAGAAGTGAGAGAGAGAGAGAAAGAGAGGAAGAGCAAAGACTCATTCAATGAAATTGGTTTGCTTAATTTAACTGAACTTGAAAAATGTAGGTATTTATTCCTTTTAAGTCGAGTTACATTTGTATCAAGCACAAAAATAAAAAAATAAGTTAACATGACACATGACAAATAACTTACATGAACTCAATTTTATTTTTTTAGTTGTACTGCTTGATTTAGTACTGCTTACTTAAAATAAATGAAGTTTTCTTACTCACTAACAAACTTATTTTGCTTAATTTTTTTTAAGTAAGGTGATCTAATTAGATTTTGCAGCATACTAAACGGACTGGGTCAGGGTTTGAGCCACATGATGTCTAAAAGTTTTATTTTTTAACATAAAAATGACTAAACAAAAAAATAACTTTCAAATTAAACCACATTTCAGTTTGACATTTCCCTACAGGTCCACTTCAACCTCCATACAACATGACACCTTTAAGGAAGCACATTGGACCAAAATGAGACAGTAGAAATGCAGTGATTTACTTAAGATAAAAATAAGTTTAGATTGACATCCTTCCCTTCACAAACGTGGAGATTAGAAATATCTTTAACTTATAAGACAGAATAATAGAAGTCGAAAGAATTTTGAAAGTAGAACTTTCTTGTTCCTCTCTCAGTCTTATTTTTACCATGTCAGGCAACCCATGGAGCTGCGACTGTGAGCTACATCGTGTCTTCAGCAAGATCTTACATGTCCGCTACCTCCATATTGACGACTACCAAAATGTGACCTGCAAGGACCCCCCACAACTGGTGGGGGCTTCTCTGGCCTGGGTGGACAGCCAGCTCTGTGTTGCGGAGACGGCCACTGTCCTCGTCATTACTGTCACTGTCCTGGTGACTGTGGTGGCAGCTGTGGTGATGGCAGAGAGAAACAGGAAGAAAAGTCGTGGGAAGAACTGGGATGCTGACTCACAAAGTCCCCCATCTTAAAAAGCTGTTTTATAACTCATGTACATTTTTTACCCTATTTGCTTTACAGAAAAAGAAAGTTGCAAATATAAATCCACTAAGACTTATGAAGACTGACTTCGGACCATGGCTTGCGTTCCCTCCAGCAGTAGAACAATACTGTGTCAGATTTCTCTCTCATTTTCAAAATCAGAACAGGCAGCTGGTCAGGCACTGGTCGAGTTTTTTACAAGAAGTCCACTGCAGGGTAGTTTGAGAAAGACAAAATGCTACTGAGGTCAAATAGTCAGACTTGATGTTGCAACTATCTCTGAACTCATTAAATACATGCATGTGCTTAAAGCAGTGTGATGGGGACCAGACTTAGGACCAAACACCCACCTACTCTATAAGAAAGCAAGTAAGACTCTAATTATTGATTTGTAGGGTTTTCAGCTGTTTTACCTAATCACAGATAACTTAGGCATGCTGAAAAGAAGCAGCTAGAAATATATATGTTCTAATGGATTAACTGGGCATGAAGCGGCAAAGCACTTGCATCTATGACCACAGATCCAGAATTTAGTTTAACTTCAAACATTTGAAATAAAATATGTTGCTCTTAAGGAGACTAAAAGATTTTTCAAAGAAAAATCTCTCAGGCTTTATACACCTAGATAGCAGTATAACTCTGTGCACCTATAATTTC